TATAAATTGTTTAGTTACTTAGACCGATTTTTTATAAAATTGTTTAGGAGAAATTGTTTCGTTTAGGTTTGTCTAAACGCTTTTTTAGAACCACTGCTCTCAGCTGATATGTCATTGTTTTGTCATATGTAGCACTGTTGCAACGACAAGGAGTGAATGTGAGAGGGCTAATGAAAGCTGCTCCACCTAAAGAAGAGACCCAAGTTTTCATTGATTGCACAGGGAATCTACAGGTTTGGCGTGTGAATGGTCAGCAAAAGATTCTCCTTCAAGCTGCTGATCATTCCAAGTTCTACAGTGGAGATTGCTATCTTTTCCACTATTCTTATCCTGGTGAAGAGAAAGAAGAAATTCTTATAGGAACTTGGTTTGGAAAGCAAAGTGTGGAGGTAAGCTCTCAAGATAACAAAAGCAAAATCTTACAAGGTGCAAGTAGGTTTAAAATTGTGAGTTTGTGTAGGAAGAAAGAGCTTCTGCAGTCTCTATGGCGAGCAAAATGGTTGAGTCAATGAAGTTTGTACCAGCCCAAGTAATCTTCTTCGACAGTTATTCCAAAAGTATATTATATGCTTTTTTTTTCTTCTGAACATTTTCATCCTCTTGTCTTTAGGCTCGCATCTATGAAGGAAAGGAACCAGTTCAGTTCTTCGTCATTATGCAAAGCTTTATCGTTTTCAAGGTTTGGCTGTAGTTTTATTTTATCTTCCATGTTCTTGTTTATAAAGACATACAACAACTGCTGATTTTGTTTGTGTGGTGGTTGAATCTTTACAGGGTGGTGTTAGCAGTGGATACAAGAAATATATAGCAGAGAAAGAAGTTGATGATGATACATATAATGAGAATGGTCTTGCTCTATTCCGCATTCAAGGGACTGGTCCTGAAAATATGCAAGCAATACAAGTTGACCCCGTATGTGTCATTTTTCCATTCTTTGTCCTTTAAAACCTTTAGAATCATTCATATAGTGATAACCATTTGATTAACGTCAATAGGTTGCTTCATCATTGAACTCATCATACTGTTACATACTACATAATGGTTCTTCTGTCTTTACTTGGACTGGGAATCTAGCAACCTCAACTGATCAGGAGCTTATCGAGAGGCAGCTTGATCTTATTAAGGTATAGATGAGTTTCTTTTTAATTGCTATAAAGATAAGTCTTTAATTTTTCAGTCAAGGCCTTAGTTATGTTTTGAGTGTCGCTGAAGCAGCATATGTTATGTTATTTTTGTGCAGCCAAACCTACAGACTAGAGCACAAAAGGAAGGTTCAGAATCAGAACAGTTCTGGGAGTTATTAGGAGGCAAAACCGAGCATTCGAGCCAAAAGCTCACTAAAGAACCTGAGAGTGATCCTCACTTGTTCTCCTGCACATTCACCAAAGGTACAGAAGATCATTTTGCTTCAGTAAAAGCCTAAGCTTAAGGTGTTATATGCACACAATGACTCTGTTTCTTTTTCTTTTCATTGGCGAAATACAAACTAATCCAGAAATCCTGAAGGTGCGTTAACTGTCTATCACTAAAGACTTATGCCACTCACAACTGGAAAATGCTTTGGCCTGTGGCTAAGTCTCAAGTTTTTTTTATTTGTTATCCTTTGGCAGGTGACAGAGATATATAACTTCACACAAGATGACTTGATGACCGAAGATATATTTATAGTAGACTGCCACTCTGAGATCTTTGTATGGGTTGGCCAAGAAGTAGTCCCCAAGAACAAGTTACAAGCCTTAACCATTGGAGAGGTCAGAATTTATTACAAGAACTGAAACTGAAAACAAAACTCTTGAGAGAATTAATCTCATCTATACCTTTTGTTTCCTTAGAAATTTATTGAGAAAGATTCTCTTCTGGAAAAGTTATCCGTTGAAGCCCCTATATATGTGATCATGGAAGGTGGTGAGCCAATTTTCTTCACTCGATTTTTCACTTCTTGGGATTCCTCTAAGTCCTCTGTAAGTACCGAACACCTTGGTCTCCCTGAGTTATACTGAAACAAGGAAGCCTTGACAAAAGGATTTAACACTCTATTTTGTTTTACAGATGCATGGAAACTCATTCCAGAGAAAGCTCAGAATCGTCAAAAACGGTGGAACTCCAGTTGCAGAGGTAAAGAATTATTCTAGTTGATGAGTCTTTGCGTTCTGAAGTTTGTTTGTTCATTTCTCTCTTTGGTTGTTGTTTTGATGATTTAGAAACCGAAAAGAAGAACTCCAGCTTCATATGGTGGCCGTAGTGCCAGTGTTCCAGACAAGTCACAACAAAGGTCAAGAAGCATGTCGTTTAGTCCAGACAGGGTACGCGTGAGAGGAAGATCTCCAGCGTTCAATGCACTTGCAGCAACATTTGAGAGCCAAAATGCAAGAAACCTCTCAACTCCTCCTCCAGTAGTTAGAAAACTCTACCCTAGATCCGTTACTCCTGATTCCTCAAAGCTTGCTCCCAAGTCTTCAGCTATTGCTTCTCGTAGTGCCCTTTTTGAACAACAACTAAAAACACCTCTCCAAGAACCTTCAATTCCAAAACCACTCAAAGGTATACACTGTACAAGCATTCACCTCTCTTCTTTTTTTTTTCACTTTTGAGTATTGACATTTTGAGTTTTATTGGTCATGAAGCGAGCCCGAAGACGGCTGAGTCTTCAGGGCCAGGATCCAACTCAAATGGAAAGGAAGAAAAGAAGGAAAATGGCAAGGAGGAGGAGAAATCTATGAGCAGCAGGATAGAATCTTTGACGATTCAAGAAGATGCTAAAGAAGGAGTGGAAGATGAAGAAGATTTGCCAGCTTACCCATACGAACGTCTCATGACTACTTCTGCTGATCCTGTCTCAGACATTGATGTAACAAGAAGAGAGGTAAAGCTCAAACCAACAAACAATTTAATGGAAAGAAGATGTTCACTGTTCTTGGTTTTTGTTTATAGGCTTACCTTTCATCAGAGGACTTCAAAGAGAAATTTGGTATGACGAAAGAAGCTTTCTACAAGCTGCCTAAATGGAAACAAAACAAGTTCAAGATGGCTGTTCAACTCTTCTGAGATATAATCCTTTATCTCGATCAAAAAAGCCTGGTAACACACAGATACAACATAGACGTCCTATCCTTTTATTAGACAGAGAAAATTGAAGGTTAATTGTGTTTTTTCTTTTCTTTGTTTCAGCTATAAGAGGAAGAGATTCAAGGGACAGTATCAGTACATTTAAGCTGCTTCTGCTCCCCATAAGAGAAGCTAGATAACATTTTTTCATGGCTTGTTTTAAGAAAAAACAACCAAGAGCAGTTTTCTTTTCCTCTGATTTTTTTTTTAATCTTTTTTTCTCTCCTTCAAATCTTTCACCTTTGTTTTCACCATTTGTTTGCTTGTTTCTCTCTTTTACCATTTTCAACATTTTTTAGTTTGATGGGCTAAGGTACAGGTTTTGGTTTGAGTCTTTGATTTATTTATTCTTGGGGGTTACTTTGCTTTCAAATTGAGGAAATTTGGTTCCAGAAAGAAGGTTTTATTTAATGAAATTTCATTAAAAAAGATTAAAAAAGACTCAGCATTTCTTTCTTTTTGGCAGAATTTGAGGATTGCGTGATATTTTTGTTTTTGGTGTACAGAGCAAAATATACAAACTGACCTATGGTCTGTTATGTTAAGTGCTTGTTTTAAACTTCATGTTACTATTTTCTACATCAGTTTCTCATAGTTACTGAAGCACGCTAGTTGTCTAGATTCTAGAGTTCTCTTTTTTTGTTAACTCCTACAGAGATCAAAAGCTGTTCAAGTGCATATAATAAGCAATGTGTTCTTGTAAGATTTTGGCCCACTTGTGCTTGTAACTAGAGCATAGACTCAGAAGTTGGGGAACTTTAAAGTATCCGGATTTGCCGGATCTGTGATTTTAGTATTCGGATTCGGATTTGTGTCTTCCGGATATTCGGGCTTCGGATATCCGTCTAGTATTGTGATATCCGCGGCTATTCGGATTCGGATCCGTAAAAATAATTAATTTTTTTTTAAAAAATTAAAAATTCTAAAAATAATATATAAACTAAATATTTAAACATAATTTATGAATATATATGACATATAATATTATTAATATAAAATTATAATATTATTAAACTTATTTTATGTATAAATATTAATATATCATATATAACTGATAATAAAATAAAAAATTTAATATATTTTTTAAAATATGGATCCGAATCCGGATATCCGGATTCAAAAAATAAAATATCCGAATTCGGTTTGCACATATCTGAGATTTTACTATTTGGATTTGGATCCGGACACCCCGAATATCCTAATTTGAGCGAATCCGGAATGTACCTTAGATCGAATCCGGATCCCGGATAAAAATCTCAGCCTTGCTCACAAGTAACAATTGCAACATAACTGCTCAAGCTTATAAAACAATTCAGATTATAATTCTATTTATAAAACCTGTTTTAAAATATATAATTATGTATACAAACCATTGTTGCCGGTCAATTCCTAGTCTATCTAACGTTCCACCCTAGTCTATTTGGTGAGCTGCATTGTTTTGTTATCTACTAATATGTGCTTTTTTAATTTGTTTTTGTTAATTCGTTTATTTTCCTCTTTGTTATCTATTCTTTAGTTAGAGATAAACTAAAAATATTTTGTAAACTTTTATTATAATGAAAGAATACGAAAATTTGAAATTAAATCGATTTGAAATTTAATTCATATTATTGTCTTAATTTTTTTCTTTTGATAAAGGGTTTTCAATTGTATTAATGTTTCACTAGGGATAAAGTTGTACCTAGCTAGCCCAACTTTTATTCTCAGCCGAATTCACTCCCTATAAATTATTACATAGCTAGGGCAAATAAACTAATGTGGTGATTCCCAATTCCACCTGGATTAAAACAATCTTTTGGTGTTTTTCGATTTCTCAGGAGCTAAGATTTTCTGGTAAGTAGAACACTTTTCTTTTGTTACTTTGTTTTCTTATATATACTCCTTTTGAGGTTTTGATGGCGAATATTTGCTGGACAAACGAAGAGATGAATCAACATAGTGCCACCTCCTCCGAGGAGTCGAAACCACTCTTGAAAAACAACACAGGATTCGCCATGGTATGGACTCCTGAAGAGCAAACAATTCTAGATAATGCCCTAATCCGAGAAGCTGAAAACACAGCTAAAAACCATTCCTCGGAGTCGTGTGTATTACGTTACGCGAGAATCTCGTTAGAGTTTCCACAAAAGACAGCAAAAGACATTGCTATGCGTTGCAGATGGATCAATGAATTGAAAAGAGTGACTGAGAGTTCAAACTCAGCTCCTCAAGATCCGGTCATCGATGAGGTTATTAACCAAAACGAGAAACTGCTTTCTCAGATTTTTGATAATCTCTCGTACCCCTCAAAGCTTGTAGAAAACCTTACGCTGTTCAAGAAAGCCCGTGAAAACATGATGAAACTTTTGGACAAGCTCAATGAGAATGTAGCCGACCAGATGAAGCATATGCCACCATTGCCGGAAGAATTGAACGATGAGCTATTTGATTTCATCGTTCAAGATCAAAGTCTACCATAGCTAACATGAACTTTTGTTTGGCAATTTGATTTCTTCAAACCTTCTTCTAATTTTTGTTTTCAGTTGATTTTCAGTTATTAGGGTTTCTTGTTTATTTATTTATTTATTTTTTTTTGTAAGAAAGAACAAATATTTTAACACAAAACACGTCAAATAGTAAAGGAAAAAGGTAACATATGTACACCTTTAAACTCTGAAACCTAACTCCCAAATTTCACTCTGTTAATTACACGAAACTTGAACCGATACTCGACAATAACGAGAAGTAAAAACAAAACCCTGTGGCGAGATAGCTTAGTCTAATGAAATTTGGTTATATTAGTTCAAGTAGTGTTTTTTTTTTAAATACACTCATTAGCACTTAATAAGACTAGAATTATAAAAAGATTAGACAGTAGTACGGTATTACCTAGAGGTCAATAGAATGGTCGGGTTAGAACTAGACCGGACTTTGCTAGGTAATAATAGTTAGGGCGAGGACAAATTGAGTATATGAACTAGAAAAATATTTGTCCAAAAAGAAAAGAACTAGAAAAATATATATTCAAATGATGTCAAAATATATATATATATATATATTCAAATATGTATTTGGTCCTAGTGACCAGGGTGGTCATATACGGGTATTAGGACGACCCCATTGGGGGGTATTATGACAGATTCTACTTATTAAATAATTAAGTATTAGTAAAGTTAGAAGACAAATATTTGTCCAAAAAGAAAAGAACTAGAAAGATATATGCAATTATGTATCTGGTCCTAGTGACCGGGGTGGGCATATACGGGTATTAGGACAACCCCATTGGGGTATTATGACAGATTCTACTTATTAAATAATTAAAATATAGTAAAGTTAGTAGAAAAATATTTGTCCAAACTCAAGATATATTCAAATATGTATTTGTCGAAAAAGAAAAGAACTAGAAAGATATATTCATATATGTATTTTAAATATTAATAAGTAGAATCTGTCATACGTGACTTTGTAGTTTATACTAAATTACTAATTTAGATCATCGAGACAAAACTAATTTTCTAACTAAATTTAATATTCATCTCAAGAGAACAGGAATAAATTAGCATATTGTAATCATGTAAATTGCAAGCTCACTAGTCAATGAAGTAAGATCTCTTAAAACTATTCTTCCTATATTATTATATATTATCAGCCGAGCTATTTCTTAATTTGCATAATCAAGGATTTGGAAACTAATTGCAGGGAAAGCTGCTTATTATAACTAATTTAACTGGCAGTTGGTATTACAATGGCATGCTCCATCCCTTCCTTTTTAAAAGGAGAACATTAACAGCAAAATGACTGTGACGCCCGATTTAATGATTAGTCCCTAAATGTTTTCTTACATTTTGTTATTTCCGAATCAATTTATAAATAATTTTCAGAGAACTATTAGATACTGTTTTCGGTAAGACATTGTGGTTAACAAAAATGAGAGACAAACGGAGATTAAATCTTTTAGATGACAATTCAAATTAGGTCCCCTTTAATATATCCTGATGAAAGTAGAACAATACAAATACATAAAAAATGACTTGAACTTTAATGTATGAGCAAGTCTTATAAATAGACTAAAAAAGGTTCTATCATATATGACTACACTATTTTTTTCAAAAAAAAATATACAATCGTGTTTGTAAACTTTTTTCTTGAATTTTTAAATATTTGTTTCAATAACTTCTTCATGAATATTTGTAAATAATTTATAATTTTTTATGAACATCTATTCAAATTTTAGTATTTTTCTTCATTTTTTTGTAAATATATTCTTACATTACTTTCACCTACAAGGCTACAACTATCTCCAAAAATCTCTCTGTTTTTGTCTTAAACAAAGGATCATATCCTACCAATGCTACCTTCTACAACATTATTGGGCATGAGTACGTTTCTGCCCCTATCACTGATGATGCTTAAATCTTAAAACTAGTAAATGTAATCTCAATTATTGTAGATGATGTCCAAGGTTTGCAGAAGATATTACAGAAACTACATCAATCTCGATTCTCGAAGGATTCCCTCTTATCTATGATAACTAAGTGTCAATTTTACTTCTGTAGTTGGTACATCAGATCCGGGTGTTAATTAGAAAGTCACTGGGGAATGAAAATGAAGCAACAAAAAAAGAAGAAGATGAAGCAACTGCCTTTGGTAATAATCTCTTCATAATTTATTGGAGTAGAAAGCCATTACCCCCCCTCCCCCCCTAAACTGAGTTTTAAAAAAAAAATTAAAAAAAATGTTTAAATCATATCTTCAAAATGAGGAAAAACATTCAAGAAAAAAATGTTGAATAAAAATATTCAGAGAAAGAAAAGAGTTTGATAAAGTTTTTTTTTGTAAAATTTTTAATATATATTATAGTGTACCTAGAAATTATCTAAAATAAAAGGTTTTCATAATAATAAAGTTACATATATGATATAGATTTCATATTTCTCCACAAAACTTGATTTTATCTATTCATATAAAAAATATCCAACATGGATTTATTTATCTGTAAGAAATATACAGCTAAGCATTATATGTATTTGAACTGAAGCCTGCCTTATCTGGAAATCCTAATATCAAACGAGTATTTTCTAATATAATAACAATATTTTTAATATAGTTTTTTTGTCAACTAATACAGTTTAATTACATAAGTAAATTTAAACTGATGCCAACAAAAAAATTCAATTTAAATTATATAACGAATAAAACCAGTAATACAAAGACATGTGTCGGGAGGAACCATCAACCATCTCATATTTTCTTAGGGAATATCGCATAAAAAACCTTCAAGGTGGCAACCACTTACACTTTAAACTCTGAGAGTATTTTACAAGCACTTTAAACACTCAAGTTGGCAAATTTAGCATATTAAACTTCCAATTTGGCTTACTTGTACGTCAAGTCAAAAAGGTGACTGGTACTGTTCAAATACGATGACGTGTCGTTTTTTTTTAAAATATTTTATTAATAATAAATATAAAAATACATAAAATATATAAATTCATTAAAAATCATTTAAAATTCATTAAAAATTCAAAAAAAATTCATAAAAATTAAAAAAACATAAAAACCATAAATATTAAAAAATCACAAAATAATTAAAATATTTTATTAATAAAATATTAAAAATAATAAAAACTTAAAAGAAATTATAAAAAATCCGAAAATAAGAAAATTCACAAAAATTTAAATAAAATAAAAATTAAACTTAAATAAAATTAATATAAGAATAATAGATGAAATAAATATATATTCGAGAATAATAATTTTATTTGTTTTATAAAAAATGAGAAAACACTATATTTTTTTTAAAAAAAGAATCATTATCTTCAAATGATTCTCGTGAACCAAATCAAAGCAACAAATTAAATTCCAAATCTTTTAGCACCTAGACTTTCACCTGCATAAGTTTTTTTAAAAATTATATTGTTATTTGTTTTTCGTGTCACTATTATATATTATATATATGTCATCGTATAATTAATCGTATTTGATATGTATCATCAAATGATTCTCGTGAACCAAATCACAAAGCAAACAAGTTAAAATCCAAGTCTTTTAGCAGTTATTAAAATACCCTATATTAATCTAGTTATAAAATCCAGAAAACCTCGACTAATAAGCAACAAAATGAGAACAAAATGACTTGGAATTTAATTTGTTTGCTTTGATTTGGTTCACGAGAATCATTTGAAGATAATGATTCTTTTTTAAAAAAATATATAGTGTTTTCTCGTTTTTTTATAAAACAAATAAAATTATTTCTTCTTGAATTGATATTTATTTTATCTATTATTCTTATATTTGTTTTATTTAAATTTCATTTTTATTTTATTTAAAATTTTGTGAATTTTCTTATTTTGGGATTTTTTATAAATTTTTTAAGTTTTTCTTATTTTTAATATTTTATTAATCAAATATTTTATTTATTTTGTGATTTTTTAATGTTTATGATTTTTCTGATTTTTTTGAATTTTTATGATTTTTTTTGAATTTTTTATGATTTTTTTGAATTTTTAATGAAATTTTAATGAATTTTTAATGATTTTTAATGAATTTTCTATTTTCTGTATTTTTATATTTATTTATTAGTAAAATATTTTTTAAAAAAAAAAAAAAAACTGACACGTCATCGTATTTGAACAGTACCGGTCACCTTTTTGACTTGACGTACAAGTAAGCCAAATTGGAGGTTTAATATGCTAAATTTGCCAAATTGAGTGTTTAAAGTGCTTGTAAAATACTATTAAGGTTTAAAGTGTAAGTGATTGCCACCTTAAAGATTTTTTATGCGATTTTCCCTATTTTCTTATCTACTATTTTTATTTTTTTCATGAAAAGGTCGTTGAAAGGGTTGTAAATAATGTACTGTATATATAACATAAAGTACATCCGAATCCGAATAGTAATAAACTACAAGTACAACCCATAAGAAGTCAAAACGTATCTTCTCCACGACTTTCTCTGTCCTAATACCTTTCCACGCATCCAACGATGGCCGACGGTGAAGAGACAACGAATAAGAAGTTACAGACAAGCTACTTCGATGTGGTCGGAATCTGCTGTTCATCTGAAGTTTCTCTTGTCGGAGAAATTCTCCGTCCTCTTGAAGGCGTCAAAGAATTCTCCGTCATCGTCCCTTCTAGGACCGTCATCGTTGTCCACGACATCCTCTTGATTTCTCCGCTTCAAATTGGTACATAAATTAACCAAAAAAAAAAGAAAAATTTATTTATTTTACTTGATTCCATTATTAATATCGATTTCTTGACAGTCAAGGCACTGAATAAAGCTAGGTTAGAAGCAAGCGTGAGACCGTACGGAGAGACAAGCTTTACTAATCAATGGCCAAGTCCTTTCGCTTTGGTTTCTGGTGTATTGCTTGCTCTCTCCTTCTTCAAATACTTTTATAATCCTCTTGAGTGGTTCGCTCTTGTTGCTGTGGTGGCTGGAGTTTTTCCTATTCTAGCTAAAGCTGTTGCTTCTGTCA